CCAGCCTGTCCAGGTCTCACTGAATGGCAGCACAGGCTTCCAGTGTATCAGCTACTCCTCCCGGTTTTGTATCATCAGCAAACTCACTGAGGTTACACTCTGTCCCTTCATCCAGGTCACTGATGAATAGGTTATACAGGACCGGACCCAGAACTGACCCCTGGGGAACACCACTAGCTACACCTAGCCTCTGTGCTGCTGAGCATGACCCTCTGGGCTCTGCCATTCAGCCAGTTCTCAATCCACCTCACTGTCCATTCATACAGCCAATGCTTCCTGAGCTTACCTATGAGGGTGTTATGGGAGACAGCATCAAAAGCCTTGCTGAAGCCAAGGCAGACAACATCCACTGCTCTCCCCTCACCTACCCAGCCAGTCATGCCATCATAGAAGACTATCAGGTTGGTGAAGCATGACTTCCCCTTGGTGAATCTATATTGATTACTGATAACCTTATCCTCCAACTGCTTAGAGATGACATCCAGAATGAGCTGTTCTGTCACTTTTCCAGGGATGGAGGTGAGGACGACTGACCTGTAGTTCCCTGGGTCCTCCTTCTTGCCCTTTTTTAAGGCTGGAGTGACAGTGGCTTTCCTCCAGTCCTCAGGCACATAGTACTGTTAATAGAAGTTAATTTTATTGTCTAGTATGTAATTTCTATAGTATTTTTTATTTAAAACTTAAAACAACCTGAATAGTAAGAGTATTTTATCCCTTGACTGAGCTATTTACTGCTTGTTTCCATACTGTTGTGGTTTAATCCCAGCCAGCGACTCAGCCCCATACAGGTGCTCACTTACTCCCCCCCAGTGGGATGGGGGAGAGAATCAGAAGGATAAAAGTGAGAGAACTCGTGGGTTGAGATAAAGACTGTTTAATAGGTAAAGCAAAAGCCGTGCACGCAAGCAAAGCAAGGAATTCATTCACTACTTTCTGTTGGCAGGCAGGTGTTCAGCCATCTCCAGGAAAGCAGGGCTCCATCACATGTAATGGTTACTTGGGAAGACAAACGCCATCACTCCTAACGTCCCCCCCTTCCTCCTTCTTCCCCCGGTGTCACATGCTGAGCATGACGTCATATGGTATGGAATATCCCTTGGGTCATTGAGGTCAGCTGTCTCGGCTGTGCCCCCTCCCAACTCTTTGTGCCTCCCCAACCCACTCACTGATGGGATGGGGTGAGAAACACAAAAGACCTTGGCTCTGTGTAAGCCCTGCTCAGCAACAGCTAGAACACCCCGCTGTTTCCAATGCTGTTGCCAGCACAAATCCAAAACAATGCCCCATACTAGCTACTGTGAAGAAAATTAACTCTATCCCAGTCAAAACCAGCACACATATTTAGTACTGATCTTCCTAGTACAGCAGTGCTAGCTTACAGTTGTGTAATAAGGCTGGGAATTAAAACAATTTAGAGGTGTTAGGTGCCTGGGGATTTTTGGAAATCACTGCTCTAGTCCATTATTTTTAAGACATTCCCAGTTGAAGTTCATCAGAATTTGCATACTTCCTCATTAGAAGTTCTGTTGTATGAAGTGAAAGGTGCAGAAGACATTTTTGTTGTTCTGATGTAAAATAAAACAATGATTATTTTTTTTAAGCTAGAGAAACAGAAAAGGTCTGTGATGTTTAAAAAAAAAATCACTGAGGTAGTAAGTTTGCAAGCTGTAAGTATGATACAGAAGAGAAATGCTTATTTAGGAGTTCTGGAAAATCATGAGGAATCAAATTCTTCATAAGTGAAATTGAATAATGGAAACCAAATATTTGTTAAAATATTACAGGTAGGACTGTTTTCGACATACCCACAGGACATTTATGTTTACATTTCTGTGTGAGTGTATTGATATGTTGATTTGTATATAACTTTTCCCTTGTACTTTTTACAGTAGCAATTCTGTAGCGGTTATTCACTTCCATTTTTGAAAAACAGAGAACTTCCATATTCTGCCTTTTGCTTTGTAGGTAACTTACTCTCAAAGGAGACCATATTAGACCATGTGTGTATATTGTGTATATATAGTTATGAAGCCAAGTTTGTATTTCAAGTACTAAATAATACCCAGTCCATTAAATGGATACAGTATCTCTTGTATTTTCAGCAGGTCTGAAAAAAGAGCAGACTGACATTTGTTCGAAGTTTTGTGATTATAAAAACATGGTCTTTTAGTTCATGACTGAAAATATATCATACATTTTACATTTCAGGTTCCTTATTGGTTCGAAGACTGATGCTGAAAGGTAAATTAATATAGTATGTACAGCCATTTTGCTTGATGCCAAATAATGAATTTTGTTCCTTTTAGGCATTGTGATGTTTCTAATGTTATGGTTATGCAAACAGATGCAGAACAGATGGGGAAAATAAGAGGAATTAATCATCATAACAAGAAGTAGGATATAATGTGCAATTTCTGTCTTTAACAAGCAAGGAAGAATAGAGGAAAGGAAATACGTGAATACAGCTTGTCCCACTACCTAAATTTCAAGCATGTTACAGTTCTTTGCACAATTATTCTTGATTACACAGGTAATAATAAAATTCTGAGAGTACTTAGCAGGAATTTCATCTTGACATTTTGTATGGTAAATTAGCAATCAGGAAAATCGTTCATTTGGACTTTAATCTAGGATTTAAGATATATGCAACTTACTTTTGTGTATTGTGCATTACTTGATTCAGCTTTCTTAGAGAAGCAATTGACAAAACAGTTTTCCAGTTGTAGAATGATTAAGAGTAGCAATTCTGGGATAACTGAGGCACCAAAATAAGTATTTCTTCAAATGTTTGTCAGCGTGGATCGCATTACAGATGCCTGCGTTTCTTTGTGCATGAGCACAGAACCTTCAGAAAGCAGTCTCTGTTAAAGCCAGTTGTGGGTTTGTGCCTTCATAGCAGACCTCGAGGTGATGTACATGCCATAGCTCTTACCTCCCCACTCTTCTTATGTGCCTGGCAGGGAGATGAGTCCTTGATTTGGTCAAAAATCAATAATGTTCTTTGGTTTAATAGATAATTTTGATCAAGAAACTTTTCTTATTCTATCCTGCCTCCTTTGTGCTGATAGTGACTTTTGCTGTTTATGCTATAAGCTGAACTGGGAGAATTGTTGGCTGAAAACTAAAACAATAATACAGGGGTCTAGTTTTAACTGGGATTGATTTCCTGAACATGTTTGTCACTGGTTTGCACAAGTCGTTCTATCGGAATAAGCAGTTGGGTCTCAGGGACTAGGACAAGAAAAAACAGCAGAGGAGGAAGGAGAGCAGGACCACTTTTTTTTCCAGTACATGGCACTTCATTACTCCGATTCCCCTGTAATTTTAAGGCAGTCTAAAATCTAATTGCTGAAAAAAGTATGCTGCATCCTTTCCTCTGCAGTGTGTCTTGGGACCCTTGCTTATGTCTGCATTAGTCATGTAACATCATATTGAATCAGTTCTATACCAAAATGAAGTGTAGTTCATCACATTTAAGTGTAAGCTAATGGAAATATTCCAGCAGTTTTTTATTGAGGTTCAGTCTGCCAGAGTCTAAGTGAGAACACTTCTTCAGCATGATTTGCAAGTCTGCAAGGTCACTTTGTATATTCTGCTCATGTTTTTGAAACAGTATTTCCTCAACTTACTACTTTCAGATTAGTAGAGATGCAGTACTTGATTTGGTAGAACAGTATTTTAAACATGTTTGCCTGATCCTATTGGTGCTTCAAATTCCTGGATACGTCACTGCTTATTAATCTCATAGAATAAGACCTGGCTGTCCTGGTGCTCAAAGAAGCGATCACTTTTGCTGTGATAACTAGTTCTTGGTTGTACATTCATTATGGACCTCTTAGTTCATCTCTTGCATTCAAAGCCCTCATCTGACATAGACCTCGTGTTAAAGGAGGGTTGACTGTTCCATAGGGAGCATAAGCAGGGGACACAGCTTTATAAAAAATTGTGGATCCCTGTGAGGGAAATGGGATCCCCATTGACTGACATCCCAAAGAACTACAATTGCTTTTAGGAAGGGAGCTGTTCTGTCTACTGTTTTGCATATTCTACCAAAAGAGGGTTTCTTAAACTTGTTTCTTAAACTATATTTTGCATTAGAAAAAAAAGACAGTGACTAAAGGAAAAGTTAAAATTTAATAAATCTAAGAAAAGAGCCCAGAAATGTGAAGTAGAAAGATATAGATATGTTTTAGGTATACGCATCTCTATTTTATATACATACATACTTAATTTATACAGAAGTATATAGTATTTGTGTAATGTATCAGATGACTATGTAACACATACAATTATGTGTTTACATATATGTATCTACTTTAGAAGTTCAGAGTTGTTAATCTTTTTATGTCCTCATTGTTTGTTTCAGAGTGGTGAACCAGTATCAGGAGTTAGTACAAAATGAAGCTAAATGTCCTGTAAAAATGTTTCATAATTCAAGTGGATCGGTCAATCTTAGTCATCTTTCCCCAGGGAGGGAAATGGAAGTGAGTTTATCGAGCCATACATTTCTTTTATTTGCACTTGATTATTGAATTATTAGAATAATTTTTGCTATCCTCATTTAAAACTAAAATAAGCTAAAAATTTCATTCTGAATGGATTTTTAATGCTTTATTGTCATAATCATTCAACAGGAGTGTATTGGAAAAGTTAGAGGAAAGCACTTTTGTTTCCACTGTTCAAATGTTGTGTCTTTTAGCCATGTTATGGGTTTGGGGTGGTTTTTTTTTTGCCACGTATAGTATAGTTAGCTCCAAGGTTTTGTTGTGGCATTTTCCCCTGTCCAGATGAACCTTTCACAGTAAAATGCAGCTGTGTGTTTCATTTTTTGGGTCAGTAAACATAGAAGCAAATGTAGTAGCTGAACTTCTTTTCTTTTACCTTAATTATTTAAATTATTTTCTCCTTACTTTGAAGAGGAAAACTTAAAAAAAAAAAAAAAAAAAAAAAAAACACACAAAAAACAAACAACCAAACAACAAAACCCCACACAAACTGCTCCCCCCCCAAAAAAAAAACAGCACCAAAAACTTTAAAGGGCTTATATTTGCATGCACACATCCAGTAGAAATTCCTTCATTCTCAAATTCTCTTGCCTGTTGGCATTGCCTTGTGTTTTACTTGCTGCTTCTGGCTTTCTTGGTCAGATCCAGTTCTCCAGCAGTCAGCTGTGTTTAGGCTCCAGCTAGTAAATGAATTTTGTAGCCCTTGGGCTATTTTCTTTGCTACATCTTTCCTGTAAAGACCTGCTTTTAAACTGCAACAACGTTGCTCTGAAAGACATAGTTCTTGGTGTCAGCCAGAAGAACAGCATGTACAGGCCAGCAGTTTCAGAAAGGAATATAAGTGTTTATGTGTGTATACACATACAGACATATGAATGCGTGTGTGTATATATATAATAAAATCACAGAATAACATAGGGTGGCAGGGTGCTTCTAGAAGTCATCTCTTCTGGCTATCCAAGCCGCCATCAAAAGCTGGACCAAAGCTTCTCAGGTTACTGTATTTAATGATCTAGTCCCTTTTTGAATGGGGCATTAGTCTTTATTTTCAGAGAGAATAAAGCAGATTTTAATAGTAGAAAAGAAAAGTAGTCCTCAGAATTTTCCTAAAAAGATTCTTTTTTATAAGCAAACAATTAGAAACATGTAGAGGGAATGTCTCTTATTACTGAGAATCAGTGGAAGCTAAGCTCTCCAAAAAGTTTCTGCACAATGCTGAATGCTCTGGTTTGTTAGCCCATGCACATCTAATTTAGGCTTCAGCATTGAAATATTCCATTCACTACACTGACAGCCTCATTTTCTAGATTCAGCAGTTTATGGACTGTATGTTTGTTTAGATGTTACTTTCATTTATGGGCTACCTGCTGTATAGATAAAAATATATAGACTGTAACTGTAAACGTGTTTCACTGTTGAGTCTTTTGATGATGTCAGCTATTGGAATTATGGATTTAGGGCCTATTTTGAGTGACTGAGAACTACAGACTTGATTAACTGAAGTTAACTTATGTTTAAACAACCTGATAAGTAAGTTATAAGAACAAACAAAAAGGGAGCACCTTTCCTCTGAAAAGATTAGTGAAGTTCTGATCCCGCTGAAGTAAATGGGAAAATGTGCATTGATTTCTGCGCATTCAGGATTTTCCTGAATGTATTTAAATTCCTACTCCCAGAATGAGGAAATCTGATCCTGTTCTCTAGATCCATCTCGATTGGAAATGGCAGATATGTACAGATGGTGAATGAATGAAATGATGTCATTTTTCAAGTAAGATCAAATTGTCCTGTTACTTAAAGTTCATCTGTCACTCTTGGATTTGTGAAAATTGCTAAGAAGGATTTCAGAATTGCAGAGAGAAGTGAAACTCTTGAATTCTTTTAATTTTTTTTTTACTCGGTTTAAATTTTACCAGCACCATCAAGCTGCTTCTTGATGGTAAGCATTTGATCTTAAGAGAGTCAGTCATAGGTTATGTTTTTAAAATAAATAAATAAAAATGTTTAAAGGGAATCTTGTCATGGTTTTGAGAAACCTAATACAAGTTAATTGAATTATCTTTTCTGTCAAATACATGGAAGCTGACATTATTGCTGTGGTAGTGTTAATTTCTCTTTCCTCCTAGCAGCCAGAAAGTATATCGGGCTCTGTTCAGTCTTCAATATTGGGGAAAGGTGTAAAACACCGACCTCCTCCAATCAAATTACCTTCCAGTTCAGGAAGTAGCTCTTCAGGTAATTACTTATTGACTCGAGTGTCTCCTTTCTCTGTGTTCTGCGTGTTGTGAAATGACATGATATCCCTTTAGTAAAGATGTAATAAAACAAAAAGAAATCAGTATCTTATCTGTGAAAAGAGCATCTTTTTTTGATTTCTGATTATATTGTTCACAAAATTGTATCCTAACAAATATTCAAGTTAACATGTACTTGCAGAACAATAATATATTTTAATTATGCCTTTTCAGGTAATATTTTTAGTGCACAACAGTCAAGTGGCCATCTAAAATCCCCAACTCCTCCTCCTCCTCCTTCTAAGCCTCCTGGTCTTTCTCGGAAGCAATCTATGGATCTTAATCAAGTTAGCATGCTCTCTCCAGCTGCCATGTCTCCTGCAAGCTCTTCACAAAGTGAGTCACGACCTAAATTCTCCATTAAATCTTAGGCTTTTGCATAAATGCTTCCTGAGATAAACTACTTAACCTGTGGAATGATGAAACTTAAGTGTACAGTGTACCCTAAATTGTATGAGTTGTGCAGCTTTAGGCAGGTCTCTTGTTCACTGTATGTATTTTATGTTTATTGTAACTGTGTTCGTTTTTTCTGTATATATGTATGCACCCTCTGTGTATACGTTTTAATACATTTTATGCAAATAGTATGATCTCCTCATTTATGAAAGGCTGGTAGATGATGTGATGAGATAAAATTCCAAAGTGTAGATTTTTTTTTTTTTCCTGCAGTGTAAAAACAGTATGTTAGATCAGTTTGCCTTTACGTAATTTAAGCATCTGATTTTTGAATGTTATAGGAGCTGGTGCAGTTGTATCTCTATGTATGTATATAATCTGATCAGTCCCAAGGTGGTGATACAATAAACGATAAGATGATTTTTTTAAAACACTCCTACACTGTTTTACAAATCATTGCTGATTGCAAGTGTGGTGGTGATGCTGATGATGATAGCACCATATTCTCAGGTGTTAAAATGTAAATTTCAATAATAAGTGACATCCTAGTTTAAGTATTTTCTTTAACACTGACAGGATCATTGTAATCATAGCTATAAAAGATAAACATTTTTAAAAATATGTATGCGTCTTGAGACATTTTGTGAAGAGATTTGTACAAAGAGAAATCATAGCTGCAGTTTTTCATTTTTTTATGAATAATTGTACACTGCACATTCCAGTATCCTGCACAGTATTATAATATGCTTTTTGCATTAAATAATTTAAAATCTGGATAGCTCAAAAGGTGTAACTTTTCTGCCTTCTTGTTTTGCACAAAGAAAAAAAGAAAACTTAAAAAAGTTTTCTTTGAACGTATTTATTCTGTTTTTCTGTTAGTGCTGAGTTGTGTAAATCTGCTGCACACAGTTGTTACTTTAAGGCTCTGGTCACAACAGCTGGACATTCACATTTATTTCCTTTCTTTCTGCAGGACATGAAAGCTAAAAAAAAAAGAAAGAAAAACAAAAAAACCACCTCAAGCTTTTTGGGGTTTTTTGTTTTATTTTTCCATTGACAAACTGTGCTTACTGCATCCACAACAAATATAGCTATACGTGCTACATTTAAGCAGAAGGAATTACACAGTAACTTTTAAAGATGCAGTATTATCCTCTGGTTCTTAAATATTAAAACCTTTTTATTTGATCAGAATTTGGCAAATGGGAGTTTAGCTATATGATTAAATTTAGATCAACCCCATAATTATTAAAATAGTATATGTTCTTTTGTTGAATCTGTTGTTTTCCATGATGTTTTTAACACGATGCTATTGTGCAGGCAGTGCATATAGACTGTATGTTTAACATCTTAGGGCAAAAACATTAATTAGGTTAAAACGGTCACTAAGAAATTGTCTTACTTTAAGTATTTCTGAATGGAGTTAGGACTTAATGTGCGATAAATTCTGGAAGGACTTGATGGAGGATACAAATCAGTATATGGCTTAAGGAGTTAAGCATGGAGAGTGGGTTTTCTGTGTGATTATACTGCATCCTTAACAATGAGTGCGTGCTGCAACACCTGTGTCGTGTAGAAATTAACACTTGCAGTCTAAAAAGTGGAACAAATTGTCAGTGCTAAATAAGATTCCATTAACCTTATTATACAAAAAGGACTGGCCTTTTATAACAAACTAGCACTTTTTATTTTTCTCAATGAGCAGGGTCTGGAACTCCTAAACCATCTACTCCTACTCCAACCAACACCCCTTCATCGACCCCACACCCTCCTGATGCTCAGAGCTCAACTCCTATTACCCCTTCTGCCACCCCTACTCCCCAAGATTCAGGCTTCACCCCTCAGCCCACTTTGTTAACCCCGTTTGCTCAGCAGCAAATGTCTCTGAGCCAGGCACTGCCTGTAATGACCATTCCTCTTTCCACCATGGTAACATCCGTTACTACAGGAACAACCTCCACCCAGGTCATGGCAAACCCTGCAGGACTTAACTTCATCAATGTAGTGGGCTCTGTGTGGTAAGTTTTTTGTTACGATGGTTTCTTATTTTGTCCTGGGTTGGCTGGTGGTTGTGGCGGTGGGGTGGGAGGGTGGGAGTGGTATTGGACTGCCCAACATCCATTAGGATAGATATTTTTCAGGATCTGCAATATAAAAAGATCATTCACTTTATAATTACAAAGTGAAGAGCCACAAGAAACTCTTTGTATTTCTTGAATATAAGGCACCTTTATTGCTTTCAGCTTTTTGGATGAATATAGTTTAATTTCATGAGGCTTAACCTCAATTTAAGTGTTTTCTAGATTTTGCTCTTTAAGTTTGAAAACTTTTTTTCATTAATCAGAGAGGAGGTAGAATATCATATGCAGACCACTCTAAATGAAAAATGGAAAGAGATTTGTTATTAAAGTGCCTATGAATGAAAGGTTGTATGTAAAATACAAGAAAACAACAATTCTATTTTCTTACAATTTAAACAAACATTGAGGTTGACCATTCTCTGATCCTTAAAACTAATTTTGTGGTTTAAAAAAATAATAAATGCTGCTGTCAAGAATAGATTGTGTGGTATAATGCGAACTGCTTTTTAGACTAAATGAAATTCTGTGATCAATAGAAGATGGTCACTGTAAGACACACAGTGTGCTTTAATGCATGTATTGGACACTTGAGTTACTCATCCAAGGTGTTCAGCAGCTAATCACTGTTGATTAATAAGAGATTTTTTTTTTAATAGTGCAAAAAGAAAACACAAACCTGTTCCTTAACTTTTTGTTAAGTATAAGCATTTTCAAGACAGTTGATCTTTCAGTATTTCTGGAATAAAAGACCACTTGTGGTTTATTTTCAATAGATTATACCAAAGAAAAAAAACTGTATATGCTGAGAATATGGATTTACATATTTGTTGTGCCCTAGGCATAACAATTTTTTAAGCTGCCTTGATACTTTATCCATAATCCCATTTACAGCAAACAATTGATTTGTCATGAGACAGAGGGCAAAAATTTAGTTATTCAGATTTACTTGTACCACTTGGGTTTGATGTGTTGTCTTTCCTCTTCTACAGTGGAGCACAGACACTGATGAGTGGTTCAAACCCTATGTTGGGGTGCAACACTGGTGCCATAGCCCCTGCAGGTATAAATCTGAGTGGCATTTTACCATCAGGAGGTCTGGTACCAAGTGCGCTGCCTGCTGCAATGCAGTCTGCTTCTCAAGCAGGTTAGTGTGAATAAGTTGAAAAGCCACCCTTCAGATAGGGACAGCGTGAAAACATATTGTGAGAACAATGGACAAAAAAGAGGCCATTGTGGGAATAGATTGTGTATTTGATGGCTGGAGATCGTGAACAACATACATATTTTTGCATTCGAAAATGTAGGCTATGTTTGATTGAAATTGGTTTTTGAGGAGCTAGACTGGGGAAACATACTCTAAACCTGGGTTGTTTGATATGTTCGGTAGGAAGTTTTAGATAAGCTGCAAATTTGAATGCAACTTCAGTAACGATGACTGCCAGAAAAAAAGCATGACTGAACTTAGAAAGAGGCCTCACTTATTAAATATGCGAGGCATTTTATTCTCTCGCTGGTACTGCTTTATTCTAGTAGGACACTTAGTTCCTTATTGCCTTCAAATATGACTATATAAATCTGTATCCCTCAATATTCATTAAAGCAGGATTTAAATTCTTAGTTTATTTTTTCTGAACATATAATAAAAGAAAAAAAAACCCTAATGTATGATTTATGGAACCAGAATGATAGAAGAGACTTCAAGATATTCATCCTTTACATTGAGACAGAGTCAAATCTGTCTAAACCATTCTGAACCAATGTTTATCTAAACTATCCTTGAATACCTTCACTAAAGAATATTCCCATCATCCTTAGCTGTTTGGAGTAGTTCATTGTCCATACAGAATGTTTCCTTCTAATTACAATGCATCTGCTTAATTGCAAATTAAATTATTTTTTCCTCCTGCTCCTTGCAGACATGAAAAATAGTCGTTCACCCTTTCTCTTTACCTTCTAAGTATCCAACATGCTGTCATGTCCCACATTTGTCTTCTCTTTCTGATGGGTCGTATTTTTCAAACCTTTCATAATCCTGTCACTCTCTTCTAGACTGTCCAATTTGCTTACATCCTTCTTAAAATGTGATAACCAAAACTGGACACAAGCCTCAGCTTGGCTGATTTACCACTGTGGAGCACAGCAGAATAAATGCATCTCATCTATTTCACAACATTCCTGTTAACATTTCCCCAAATGAGGTCTGCCTATTTTTTATCTGTATTTTTTGCAACAGCATTACATTAACATAAGAATGGCTTTACTGGTTTAGGCCAAAAATCCATTCAGTTTGTATTCTGTCTCTGACAGTCGCCATTAGAGGATACTTAGGAGAGAGTTTAAGATGAGGCAAAAGTGTGAAGTGAAACATCCCTTGTAGACAACTGTACCTCTTCTGGCAACCTGCAGCTTTGAGACTTTCTCAGCTGAAGACTATCCACATGGATCTTTGCGCTTAATATCCTGTGCTAGACTTCTAGTCTGTGGATTTATCTAATTGGTTTTTGAACCCATTTATATTTTTGGAACCTACGGCATCTTGTGACAGTGAGTTTTGTAAATGTAAACTGTGTGAAGAGGTTCTTTTCGTTTGTGTGTTCCATAGTTTGTAGTACGGATGATTCGGATATGTTTGACTTACTGTAACTTCTCATGTCCTTTGTTGCTGTATAGACACAAAGCTAGTTACTCACAGTTTTGTACTTGTTCATTTGTCTTTTCTTAATTCAATGTTACTGAATTTTGGACTCTTTTTTCAGTTCACTAGGATCGCTTTTAATTCTAATTCTGTCCTGTCAAGCACTATCAACCTTTTCCTGTTTGACGTCACAGATTTTTACATGCTACGCTGTCGCCCACGTAACAGATGGGAGTAGTGAGCTGAGCTAGGTCCATGGAAGACCTCTGGGGGTTCTGTTTGACAGCTGCCATTTTACTGGAGCGTTTGTATCGGTTCTATACTCGTAGCTTACTACATATACATCTTTCTTTTAGCATAGCTTTGAAGAGTGCCCTGTGGAATAATGCCAAAAGCTCTAGAAGTCAGATACATGTTGCCAGAAGCCCTTAGGGGTGTGGGCAGTTGCTGGGATTTTGGGTGGAATTGTTTTCTGTTAATGATTGAGAAACTGAGAGCTTCATTGAGCCCTTGGCCATTTCTGGATTTACTGTACAAACAGTAAAACTTTTTAAAGCCAGAGAGGAATGACTGAAGAATAACTGCTATGATATTCTCCACATTCACCTTTGCATAAATGTATTAACAGGTTACAAGGGTACAGTGTTTAGCAGAGATAGAGATTTCTTTCTGTTTAGTCAGCTCTCTAACTTTGAATCTGGGTAACTATGAACTCATCCGCTTTACAGAAAATGCAGCATTTTATTAAGTATAAAATTTATACTTGCCAGTTTTCCAGCTTCCAAATGTTTAGGAATAATCCCAGTGGAAAGGTGTATTAATTGCGATACACAAATATAATTAAGTAAAGACTTCCTACTAATAAAAAGATGTTTTCTTTAACAGGCAGCCCCTTTGGTTTGAAAAATGCATCAAATCTTCGGCCTTTAAATCTTCTACAGGTAATTGATATACTTGGATGCGATAATATTGATAATTTCTTATATTTCTTAAGAGACGTGTTTAGTGCTGCTTACTGCATTGCCCCCTGCAGATCTTTGAAGCCAGTTGATCAGACAAACCATTTATTGCAAATTTTAGTTGCTTACTTGAAATGCTTAGAATGAGAGAAAAAACTACTTCCATAAAGGTACCAGGTGGAAATGATATTCCAGGCTCACAACAAAGCAGCTAGTTCTCAGTAACAATCTAAAAATGCTGACATTTGAATTCAGGAGATTAATCCTAAAATACAATCTTCTATTTTCAGGATTTGCCTAAACTTTTATTGCAAATCATTCTTTAAACTGAAGTTAGCATTGTTTTAAAAGTACAAAACAGTACAGTAGCATCACTCAGGGGTTACATGTATAATGCCTAAAAGCCAAGCTCAACATGCACGGGTAGGTGCAGTAATAGCTTTAAAGAGCTTCTGGTAATGGAAATAGAAGTTCATGTGAGAGGGAGTTTAGAAGGTCTGTAAATGTTTTCTTTCCACTAAGCATACATACAAATACAAACGGGAGCAAAAGCTGCTTATTATGTCCAAGCTCCATTTAAAATCAGAACAGGGAGTGTTTGGAACCAGGTGGAGTTCCTGGATCTTGAAGTCAGCTTCTAGTTACAGGTGCAGAATTGCAGCTTCAGTGTTCCACAAATGTTGCACCATGCTTCAAAACATTAACACCAGCAAAAGACCAGCTGCAGCTTCTCTACTTCCTCCTACCATTCCTGTACACGCTCCAGAGATGTGGAAAAGGGCAGGCACAGGAAGCGGTTATGCCAGAGCAGAGCTCTTCTACAAAATTACGTGCTTGTATGTGTGTGATTCCACATGGAGGTACATCCTTTCAAGCTACCTCTGCCACTCCTATAAGCCAAAAACAATTTGGCTGAAATCAGTGCAATCAAAGCTGGGGTAAGGGCGAGAAATCAAGACTGTTTAACATTTTTCTGCATCAGACCTTGCAGCTTGATTGAAAGCATCTATTAAAATTCAGTGGAATAGTCTGAAAGTGGAAATAATATACAGTGCTTTTGAAGACTAGCCTTTACATTTCCAGTATCAGTACAATCTCTACTATTTTAATTAGAATAATAAAAATACATTTTCCTGTGGAAATATCTCACTATAATTTAATGCAGATTTGTTTTCTGAGCATAAGGCTTTTTCACACACAACAGCAATTGTAAACTGATTCATTTTAAAGGATTTTAAAAAAACCAAAACCAAACCTCCAAGCAGTACCTCATTATCAATGCCCTGTGCATCCTAGGACAGTGGGAAGCTTGGCAATTTGATTGAATTATGCCTTTTGTTTTTAATCTTCAACAGCTTCCAGGTGGTTCACTTATTTGTAACCCACTCCACAGCAGCAGCAACAACAGCAGCTGTCACAGTTTTTTCCGCAGCAGCAATCTCAGCAGCCTACAACCTGTAGTCCTCAGCAGCAGGGAGAACAGGTGTGTGCTGACAGCCTTCAGTCTGGGCTGCATGGCTGAAACAGTTTCTCCTATTCTCCCCATCTCCACAAGTAAATGAGCTTTTAACCCAAGCAGAGGGGGAGGAAAGTCTTCCTCCAAAACCACCTCAAACTGCAAAGACTGCAGTGGCTTTGTTGCTGTGGCTGGAGCTGGGTTATAATACTCCTTTATTTATATACTGTATAGAAGAGCCGTAACGAAACAACTGGCTAAGCCTTGTCTAACTCTAGCATGAAGAGAGCCAGCCCACTGTACGAGTGGTGTAAAATCAGCTTGGTGTTGTCCTGTTTGTCATAACCAGCAGATACATCAGGTGAACAGAGAAAAAAACACAATCAGGATTACTAGAGAATAACTAAAGCTTCTTACTTGCACTGCTGTGAATTGGTTTATGATCCTCACTGCTGTAGTTCAACAGAATTGTTGTCTTTGCACCAGGGACAGTATCAGTTGGCTTTAAAGCTGTAATATTAAGACACTTGCTCTTCAGGCTGCCTGTAATTAGTGTTAAAGACTTTAATCACCAAAGAAGTTTAAAGACTTGATAGAGACCAATCAATCTTCTCAAAATGACAAATTTCGAGTGGTTGGTTCTACCTGTGCCTGAAAATCTTTACCAGCGCTAATGCAGCAATTTGGAAGAACTAGCTGCTCTGCTTTTGTGTTCTTTATCTTTTGTCTTCCCAGACATGCAAGCCTTCTGTTTACCGAATAGTCTCTACAGAATACTCAGTTTGTCGTAGTAATTTTGCCTGTGCTGCTGTAGAATGTTCATAAATACGATGCCTCTTTGAAATGTTTTTGTAGTGGATAATCTCCTGTGTCACAGGCCTTGTTCTGGAACATGGGACAGTTTAATGGGAAACCTTCAGATTTGTTCACAAATCCAAATATCGGTTACCAGTTGAATTACTGAAAAAAAAATCATGCAAGCTCATCCTATTGGGTTTTATTTTCTAGACATTGAACCTCAAGGGCATTTACAAAAAGGCTGATGTAAGCCTAGTCCTTCTTGTGGCGGAAAGGTCTTCTGGAGGAAATCAATCTCTCTGCATTGGCTCACTTGCCCTAAAGAACTCTCTTACCACGCATTGTGGAGTCAGACTAGGGTCATTAGCTAAAATGAGCTATTAGGAGTACTCGATTCTTTAGCTTTCAGTAAGGACAAGAACATACGTGTGCACAGTGCTGTAATCCAAGTGCTTAGTGGAAAAAAACAAAGCCCAAAAGGACCAACAATTGTGTGTGCTGCCAACAGAATATATACATTCTCATCTCATACTCAGGGTTTTTCCCCAAATGTTGGTTCTACAGCTTTGTAAGTCTGTCTTAGTCATCTTCATCGAGATGATGACATCTTCTTAACGTGCAATCTTTTGGTCAAGTTTACCTAGACCTTAGTGGCATTATTTCATATGGTTATTCTAAAGAAGCATTGCAACTCCTGGAAATGCAGCAGCTCAAAAGCTTTATTTTTTTCATTTTCTGACTGATAAGCCATGCAGTTTGCTTGAATTGCATATATAATACTTTATTTCCCCATCTTATGAACCAATGAGTAATTTAAGTTCTAGAAGAGGTCATAATTCAGTAAGTATTCTTTGACTTCAGTAGACGCTAGATCAGACTCTACTAGTTCCATTTGAGTGATTACTATGATAACTACTCTGTTCTGAAAATAAAATTTTAAAAGCAGGGCTTGTATTTTTCATGAAATGGAGCGTGTGACACAACACGAACACGTGAGTGTAAGTTTCAGACTTTACATTTTGATCACTTAGGACTTTGCACATGGATGGTTTCAGGTGTTGCCTGAAGACTTTGGGGTTGGGAGCGGGACAGGGAATCGTGGTAAGATCACAGCCACAAACGGTAGTCTCTGCTGACTGCAGGGGAGTTGACAACTCCATGGGACTTCTGCTGGGTAACCGATGTCATACCATTTCTGCCGAAACAGAGCTGTTTTGGGGCATTCATCATCTGTTCATTCTACTTTAATAGTGACTACATTATAGCCTGTATCTACGCATACTGGAAGATGTAGAATTAAATGTTTTTAAATGGCACTTCAAAAGTTTGCCTTCACACAGGCTTTATTTACTTATTCATTGATACCAAAGTTTGGTAATAAGGATCAAGCTTTTCATTTTTGCTAGGGGTCTGACCAAGGTCCATCCAATCAAGATCAGGCATTATCTGCCCAACAAGCTGCTGTAATTAACCTGACCGGAGTAGGGAATTTTATGCAACCTCAAGCCACAGGTATGTGCTTGCCGAGCCTCCTTTTGTAGTTAAGTGTGTATGTTGATCAGTTCACACTGAAATGAAGTTTGGTCTTAAAGAAGTCTTGTCTTAGAACAATTTAGTTTGTATTATCAGCACATGAATTATACTGGACTTTCAAAGCTGCACTTTTCTGCTTTGTTTGGCAGTTGAGTGTAGAAAATTGGTAATATCACATGAAAATAAGTCATACTTGATACAAAAAGAAAATACAGGGAACTTCCATGCCAGACTTCATTGAGGAATGTTTCTTTAACTGTGTGCTTAACATCCGGTATGAGAAACCTCTTTGTGTCTCCACAAGCACTTCATAATCTAATTACGTTCTAACTAACAGAGTACATATATCATGTATACTTTATTCTGCACTGTTTCCGATTTGACTCTGAAACTAATTCTGTTGATCCCCTTTTTCTGTTACACTCTGTTCCTATGACTTCCTTCCCCAACCCTGACAAACTCGACCTGATCTCTTTGACCTGCCTGCTTTCCCCTTCTCCTTTCTCAGTGTTGTCTCAGCTTGGCTCTGCCGCGAACAGACCTGGGCAAAGCCTTCCTCAGCAGAGACTCCAGCTCTCTTCTGCCTTACAACAGCAACAACAACAAGCCTTGCAGCAGCAGCAGCAACAGATACAAGTAATCCAGCAACTTCACTCTGACTGTGTTTTAAAAAAAAAAAAAATTAAAAATTAAAAATACAATTCTCAGCTCCAAAAGCAAAAATCTTGCCCCTTTGACTTTTCTTCTTTTTTAAACTACTGTCTTTATGGTCTCGCCAGTGAAAAAAACATGAATTTGGCAAACAACATCGTGAAAGATTTAAAATCTGTGGTTCTCTCAGCTTGGAGCACTGAATTTATTTTTATTCATTTAAGCCATCCACCTTCCTGATTTGCTAACATTCAAGGAGTGCTTGTGGCACATTTCTAAATAAGCTCTGCCAGGTGCCAACAGATTTCAAAACAGCATGAAAGTAAGCACCTCCAAGTTCAAATGTAACACTGCTACAGTCAGTACGTGGAAGCAACCGCTCTGGCAAAGCATTCCTTTAGCATTCTGTCATTCAGATGCTTTATGAAAATACTGTAATATTTGTTTAGGACACAGTCTCATATATTTGATACATAGGGAAAAATACATACAATGCGTACACTGAGAAGGTATTCTCTTAAAAACGTACTACATAACCCAAACGCTCACTGAAGTTGCTGAGTTACTGCAGTTACTGCAATGGAGAGAAAGGGCAAAGAAACAAAGCTGTCCAAGCACACGTGTAAAATGTCAGACGTGCCCTCAGCAGGCTTCTGTGCCACTGGTGCTGCTTGACTGTACTCATTGCCCCAGTACGTGCTCTGTTCCTTTTGCCAACCTCATGCTTCCTCTTTTTTTTTTTTCCTTTTTATTTCCCCCTGCCCCTCACCTTCGTCTCATTCTTCCTGATGTGAAACACAGCTTTATAGTCAACACTAACAAGCTTTTTTTTTTCCCCCCCTTCTCCTTCACGGCAGCAGTTGCGATTCTTGCAGCATCAAATGGCTATGGCAGCAGCAGCAGCACAAGCAGCTCACCTGTGTCATCAACAGCATTCAGGCAGCCACTCAAAAAGTAAAAGGAAAAGAGGCACACTGGCCCCTCCAAAATCCTGAGACTTGTGGTTTGTTTTTTGTTGTTTTGGGTTTTTTTTCTTGCTCTAAATAAAAAATTCATTCAGAGGGGATTTTTTTTTTTCAGATTAAAAAGGAGAAAGCTTAAAATCAAATCAGTGTTTTATATTACTGGTGGGAAAATGAACTTTTGACGTTACACTGAAATAAATGAACTGGTTTTGGAAGCCAACCCTACGGAACTTTGAGATTTCATCTATAAAGCAGCTCGGGTCTGGTTTCCTTAAGTCACTTAATTTTTTAACAGAATGTTTTATCTTGTATTTTTTACCACTCGGCAGCATTGTACATAGTATAAGGGTGAAAAACATTTTAGAAAAAATGAACTTTGTAAATGTAGTATTGGTATTTCTTTATTTAGTATAAAAGGTTTGTGAACACTGTAACAAATACAATTTTTACAAATCCATTTTTGAAAAGATCTCTCCTTTTGTTCACTTGGGCTTTATACTTTTCATTACTTTGTCTATCAGCTTCTTTACTTCTTTGTGTCTTGTAATTGCTCTGGTGATACAGTCCTGAAGCTTGGCTCCTGTAAGAGGACTTCCACCTAAAAATTAAAGGCAACAATGTGATTTTCTACTTATACTTCAGTTATGTACCTCTAAATGTGTTTTCCAAATGAGAGTATTAAGTAATACAGTAATTCTCGTGACCAACAACTTTCACCTGGGGAGCATACAGCTTCCCCAACTCTAGCCTCGGGCAAAGAAAGCACAAACAAACTAGAGGGGTAAGAGGAGACGTGCTCAAAATTTGCCCTTTGCTGTACATAGGTCAAGCTGAGACTTCTTTTTGAACTTCAGTCATGCCACCTTTTTGAAAACAAATGTCAAGAGCGAGTCATGTAATAAGTACTGAAGCAGACAGTCTGTTCTCATCAAGCACCCACATTTCACAAAGAAACGCAGGTACGTAACATCTAGGTCAAGAAAAAATTATCATCTCCATAGGTTCCCGTGTGATAAACTTGGAAGTACCTGGTTTATGGACAGAACATAGTCTGCCGCCTTCATCGGTTACAATAGTCACTGTTCCCGTTGCTAAGTCTTCTTCTTCAGCAGTTGGGTCAACAATGAGTAATGTGCTTGTGAAAGAAAAAACATACGCAGACGTGTTAGTATATGTTGCTCCATTAACATACATAACATTCGTTTTTACTGTAGTCTTACAAAATACTTGTAGGTGGATTTCGTGCTCTGGCTTATTTGTTTTCTTACCAAAATGCACCAATTTAAAAAAAAAAAAAAACAAAACAACAAAAAAAAAAATGTAGAAGATTCCACATATTCAAGTGTGTGTGTCTGCTAAAATCCTAGCTGTTGAAAATACAGCTTTATGCCTAAGTTCCATAGATCTGTGACACCTATATATTGTGGGAAAATGCCATTAAACTGCCATTTGCAGTATTCAGTCACTTATTGTGTAGTTACACAAAGACGATGACATTGGTTTTAGGTGTAGGCTGGACTAATTTCTACTAGACCTTAAGGCAAAACTCACTTGTGACAGTAAATTCACCAAAGTAGTTCTCAGGTTCTTGTCAGAGAACACCACCGCTCAGATTGGGAACAGTTCAAAAATGGATTTACTGAGTTCCTTAAGGCAGCCAAAAGAAGCTGTCATACATGACACGATGGACGTCATTAAAAAAGACTAAATGTTGTTATTTTTGAACCATTTAATAAGTTAAAAATAAGTAAACCAATGGGAAAAAAAAAAAAGGAGGATCTAAGCTATAAGCCAACTTTGCACAAGAAAAACTGAACTTGGAAAAAGCCAAACAACCACCGTTAAGCGTTAGTTTCCTTAGAAAATAATTCAAAAAAAATTCACTACCATTACAAACGTTTGGCTGAAGTGCAGGTATCATGACAGGGAAGTCTGTAGCTGAAGTTTTCACGAAGCCTCAGTTTACACTGCTAAACTAAAATGTAGTATTGCTGCAACCAAACTCACTTTAGCAGCTGGACAGCTAAGGGACATTTATGACAAGTTTGCGGGGGGGACGCCAGCAGCAAGGCTATAGGAGCCGATTACACAAAATAGATGGAAGGGTAACAGAATTTTTCCACTTGACCTCATATGCAATGCATAATTAAAGGTTTTCTGGGCAATTCAAAACTTCACCAAGAGTTTCAGATTGCCATTTAAAAGTAATAGTGTAATGAAAATGTAAGTAAGTCCTTAGTTACGCTACTCAAAAATACACTGCTTTATTAATTCTAGCCACGCGCACGGTGCAGCGTTGGCCCTTTGCCTGACCCAGGGACACACGGAGAGTTCGATACGTCAGCCCTGTTACTGATGCACGGGTTGACTCCCCGGAGCTGGCTGCGGGGCTGCACGCTGCTCTGCACCACTGCTCCTCGCCCATGGCCACGCTAACCAGCAACCCAGAGGTTTCGTTTGTTCAAGAAAGGCTTTTACACGGAAGAAAAATGTCTCTGGAACTCAGGGTATGTTGTGCGTATTATTTAGAGCGCTGTATCAACAGCTGTAGAAAAACTACTAAACCAGAATTAAAAAACAAACCAACCGCACAACGTGGGCACACACAGGCACACATCCCTCGATACTGGAGATCTGAGTAACTCGTATGATGTAACAGTCGGTTTCAGTGAAGGGAGCAAAGCCCAACAGACTGTCACCAAAAGCTTTCTTCCAAAGGCAACTTTTTTGTCTATTGGTAAGTACGTGTGATTTGTGTGCAAGTAATATCCTACCCACAACTGTCTGCCTATCACGCTATCCAAACTCTCTCAGTCCACATCAAACTTCAGACCCACAAGAACTGGTAATAAAGCAATTAACAGAAGCACTCTAAAGCGCTGGTAGCTTTCTGCTTTGATTCATTTTGGTAATCACTTGGTCAACATTTGAGTTCCATGTTCCCCCTGCTCCATCTCGTATTTGAATGAAAGGGCCTATTAATCATTTCTGCGAATAGAGATAATGTGCCATAAACCCCTGACGTCTCTAAACATACCTAAATCTTAAATCAGATTCACAGCAGAGTGAGCATCATCTTTTTTGTCATTTTCTACTTTTCAAATGGATACCACCATAAATAACTGCATTTCTTATACACAGCAGCAGAACACATACTTAACAGATTTGGACTGATGAAAAGCCAGGAAACAATTTCAGGTGAGTAGTCAAGTTATCAGATGTGATTATTTTGAATTACCATAATCAGATTCTTTACCTCTATGAACAATGACTTAAGAGTGCTGGTCATACTTCATCTTGGGTAATTATGCTTTCAGTTACCCAGAGGTTCTGTTGTTCTAACTGGACCATTACTTCTTACTTCCGCAGTTGAGCAAATCCTTGGTGTAAGCTGCTCAAAAACTACCATCTTCGGTATCAGTTATTCACACAGGCTTTTAACACATTAACTGCATGGGTAACATTCTTTCATCTCAAAGATACTGCAAAAACATAAACCAATACCCATTCCTGTACTCTTAAGCGGATCTTTTAGGTTGGGAACCAGTTTTTCTGTAAGTCATGGGAAGAAGTTGGCCAGACTTTGTTTTGTTCTGCCTGCTCATTCCTACCACAGGACTACAGGTCAGCTGAACGCAGAGGGGCCGCAGATTTAAGATCAAGTGAAACAGCGCTGCCTGAGAGTGCGTGCTCTTCGCTAGCAGAAGTGTGTAAGAAGTGCAGAAGCATCACTGGTAGCATCCTCTGTCTTTCACTTCTTTTACACACACAGTTGTTTTCGTAAGTACAAAACAGTTACAAACTTACTCATCAAATATAGCAAATGATGTGGCAACCGGATGCTTTCTGATAATCAAAGGATTCTTCTGTTTTAAATCAACTTCTGATAAACCAGTTTCTTCATTTATAGTAATCGATGGCAATTGTACTGAAGAGATGAAAAAATGATAATGGTATAATATTAAACATTGCTGGTTTTAGTAGGCCTAGAGATGTCCAAGACTACTGAAATATTTAAGCTGTTCTTTTAAGCCACTGAAAATTGATGAGAATAGAGTTTTGGCTACATGACTGGTGTTCCTGTACAAAAAAAAATTCTTGAATTCGAGGGAAGTATTTAGCTTAGAACTACCTGTTCAAGTAATTATTTTTCTCCTCAAGGTAACATTCTCCCTTACACAGAAGCATTTTCTGCTTCCAAAATGCCATACAATACTTCAGAGTCATATTTAACAAAAAGTGTTTTTTCCCCAAAAAGCCTACTGGATACCTAAAAAACAGAAATACAGTCTCATCTCCCGAATTTCATATATTTGTAGAAACAGTGCAATCTGATCTTCAGATAACTCTTGCTTACTTAACCCTTTATACTGCCTCCTACGTGCATTTATCAGCCACGTACCTGTGAATCATCAATCCGTATGTTGCATGCACTAAAAGTTTTTTCAAGCTATAATGCATTAAGCTAGGAATATTCTGTTGTGACAGAATATTTGTGCAAGCAAAGCCCCCAACAACTTATTCTGCCTACACAAAATACACAAGGTAAGACCTGATCTAGACATTAAAGTTGTTTGTGGTCACTGCTGAAAGATTCAGATCTCTGACACAGAAGAACAGCCGTTAGTCTTATAAGAGAGCAAGAATACGTGTACAAAAAGATCCTACTCCCCAGGTGTTAAACATTTATGGCATCCATACCATCATTTCCACTTTGTATTTGCATTTTAGTAATTTAGCATTCAAATTACAGGAAACCAGCAGTCTTAAGGAACTGTGAACCAGTTACCTATTCATCATGAGTCAAAACTAACATATTTCTCCAAGCAACACTAATCAGAGTGTATCTCTCAATCTAAAGAAGACTTACCATTTTTTAATGCTGCTAGCAGAGCAAAGGCACTGGCATCCAAAATGTTTCCGTCATAGTCCAGACATATGATATCACAGTATAACACCCAAGCAAGCTATCAAAAAAGGTTTGCACATGTGAGATATTACAGCAGCTAAACAAACGGTGCAATGTCTAAGAAAATGCCGGCCCCATGAGCAAAGACACTTATTTCTATCATACGATTTTTACACTTCAGATATAAACCAAGCTATGAAGACTAAAAAGCAAAAACAGCAACTATAAAACAAAACAACCTATAACCCCAAATACCTTCTTTAACGTCTCAACACTGTGATCTTGTTAGTATGTCCCTCTTCATTTTGAGACACAACTTACCTTGCCGTTTGCAATACACAGGTCTTCTTTCGCTATTATCTGTGAACTGAAATAAAATAAGAGAGTAAACCAGGAAACAGAAAATTGTCTGGGAGAGTTGTTCGTGTTCTAAACGCACTAAGATGGCTCTTACTTTTCAATCACATCTGCAATGAACTGGCTTGCTGCTTGAGCCTCTTCACCAGGTGGTTCAGAGCAAAACCTCGTTGAACAGAGGGATCGCAGTT